AAGGTTTTCTAGGAAGATTTCCACCTCCAGTTTATCACGATGAAGATGGAATTGCCAATGTACTTGCTATGCGCGAGATGATTGCTGCGGGATACCGCATTACTATGGATACTGATGCTGACAATGCCTTTATTGTGCATTGTGATGGAAACAGAAAGATGCGATTTGTTACTCATAAGGGTGTGTATGTGTTGGAGCAACTTGGAGCAAATGTCGAACCAGGTGCCAAAGAGACAAGTGCAATGTACCGTCGCCAGTTAAGCAACTTAAATAATCAACCCCATTTCGAACTTTCTTCAAACAAACAGAATGGATATGCTGGACTCGAGATGACCTCCAAGATGGCAACCGTTCGAAAGAACAAAGAAGGATTCACTCCAAGACAAGTCAAGGCTGCGATGGAAGCGAGAAGTGCCCAAATTTGTTAAAGACATGACCGTGTCTGAGCGAAAGAAGGCCCAATCAGCGATGATGATACTTGTGGAAAAGCAATTCGAAAAGAAAACTAAAGGTCGCCTAGTATACCGAGGCGATGGAACTTGTGAATGGTTATTGCGAGAGGACACTGCAAGTCCAACTGCTTCACAAGAAGCAATCACCACTACTTGTGTTATTGATGCACACAAAGGTAGAGATGTAATGACACTGGACGTGCCTAACCCTTTCATTCAAACTTATATGCCTGAAGCTAAGGAAGGAGAAGATCGTGTCTACATGAAAATCACTGGCATGATGGTCTAGATATTCATTGACATGGCCCCAGAGTATCGCAAATACGTTGTATTAGAGAACGGAAAGCGAGTAATCTATGTACGGGTACTACGTGCTATATATGGGATGTTGCAATCAAGCCTCCTATTCTAAAATCAGTTTTGAAGTGATTTGGAGGCAAAGGGATTTGTTTTCAACCCGTATGACCTGTGTGTTGCTAACAAAGTTGTTAATGAAAAACAGCAAACTATCAGATTTCATGGTGACAATCTAATGTCAAGTCACATGGATCCAAAAGTAAATGACAAATTTGCTAAGTGGTTGCACATGAGATATGGTTTGATCAAGGCATGTACAATCGTCAAAGGAAAGATACACAGATATCTTGGAATGACTTTGGATTTCTTGGTGAAAGGAAAACTCAAGATCCGCATGGACAACTATGTCAAGAACATGTTGGAAGATTTTCCTATCAAGTTTAACAAGGATTCAAAGCAGGAAACACCAGCTGGTAAGGATTTACTGGAAGCTAGTAAAGGGAAGTTACTCAATGCTGAGTACCGTCAAATCTTTCTTACTACTGTTATAAGTGGACTTTATGTCTCTAAGAGAGCTCGTTTGGATATCCATCCAACAATTACTATTCTTGCCTCAAGAGTTTGAGAAC